ACGGTGTTTTGGCAGGAGATTCAGCTTTCATCCACAAACTTCATGGCAATTTAGGGGTAACGTTTATGTTTTCCTATGAAAATCACACTGCTTGTCGATTTCAGAAACATCCGAAGTTTGATTTGCATGCCAAATGTCCGAGTGAGGCGTAAGTCTCGTTTTGTCGAATCTTTTGAGATTTCACGATATTACGAAACCATGTGGCACAAACATTCGTTGCAGGCCAAGCCGAAGTGGACGCTCATTTCATCTTTTAAGATGAAAAGAGCTAGGGGCGTCATGCAGAAATTTCAGACAAAAACCTCCATGTGCGATTCATACTATTCTTCTGCCAGGTCTTTTTTTTATCAATTGCATGCAGGTTTCATTGCTCCAGATGCATTTGAATCTAAGTATGAATACAAGTATTCAAATGTATTCTTCTTGTGCTCATGATATTTTAAGCTTTTACCTTATTTGATTTTCATAATCAGTGTTGTGAACACGAATTATGGTAACAAAGATTGGTATCATATTTAAGTTTCTCATATATATTAGGATTTCTTGTCAATTCAATAGTATCAGAAAGCTCTATTTATATTAATCTTTTAAAATTTGAAAATTGCACATCATGTAGAATAATTGAATTTTTCAATTGTATAAAATTTTCTTTGTGATTCAAAAATTCAAAAATATTCTACTTACTTATTTCTTAAACTTAAACTCAGTCTTCAGGTCTATTTTTCCTCTTAATCTGATTTATGTCTCATTGTTTTGAGAATAGATTTTTTTAAGTCAAATACGATGCAAATGACATTACTTAAAATGTTAATTTTTCTACTCAGTTACCCTTCTCCTACATGCCCATCAATCAATTAAATAAGCATTTCATTACATAAATCTTGAAAATTAACATATTCATACATAACTCAATTAAAAATAAATTACAATATACTGATTTCATAGTAAAATTTGAAATTTGGAAAGTTTGACAACATTGGCTAACATCAACATTAATCTAATTTACTATTATTATTATTTGAATTGCATCCAAAATAACATCATCACGAAATTTTTTGAAATATAATGTTCTGCACATGACACATGTTAATATCTTGGAAAAATTATAAATGAAAATCTTGATTACTAGATATTGTAAAATATATACCGTATTGTATAAATTATGGATAAAAAAATTAACAATTTGCAATGAGTACATAACATATGATTAATCACATAATATGTCAAATTCAAAAATATCTAAATTTTTCTATTTTAATAGAAAACTTTAATTTGTTTTAAAATGACACTTCTAATTTTTAATTGAATAAAATAATTAAAACGGATATTATTCTTTTTTTTTCTTTCAATAGATTGAAAACTTAAACATTTTTTTATCTTGTTATAAGATAAAATATATTAAAATAATACTTATCGCTACTTCAAACCAAATCTATTTTTAAATCAATGCATGGATTATAAACTTTGAACAGCCCATTATTTTTGATTCAATGTATACAGATAATTTTGTAAAAATCAACTTAATTTTAAAGGAAGAAAAAAATTTGAATTATTTTAATTATACAATAAAAAATTATTCGTTTTTATGTCAAAATTGGATCTAAAAGGAAAAAAAACAAAATCAAAATAATGTAATATAATTTTTTTTAAATAACAGGTCAGTTGATTTTTTGAAGTAGACCAGCAAATTTTCTTCATTTCAGATGGCTAAATTTTAAAATATCAGGCATACGGTATTTGAAATAAATTTTTCTTATTGCCCAAAGATGATTATTTCCAGATTCTTATTCAAACAAAGAACAATTTAACTTGACTTAATTTGAAAATCTTTACTTTTCAAGTATCTTGATTTTCTTTCATCAGATAAAACTTATCAAAGAAATCACAATTTTGAAATGAAAAAATTAATTTATTTAGAAATTAAAATTATTAAAATTATATCAAAATTTAAGATTTATGTCACAATAAGTCATGTAATTTCATAATAATTTTTAGAAAACTTCTCATAAATTTTTTTAAATTTTTATTTTTTATCAAAATTAAAATTTAATATTATTGCAAATCTAATCTAATAAAAATTGAGGCACAATCTATTTTAAGAATTTAAAGTTGTTGTTTCAAACATGATTAAGATTCGATTCACTAGACTAGTTCTCTTCTTGTTTAAGAAATGTGTTTATTTCTATGAGTTGGAGTGTATTAATTCTAATTTTTTGGTTAATATTATACTCCAATCGGATTGAGGTAAAACCTGAATACTTTAGTTTGGGTTGTGTCGGGTTTGGATTCGGATAGAATGTTGTACCTGGTCCGGAAATCTATATTCGATGAGAATAGAAGCTGTAGAGTGTGGCACACGTATTAATCTTGACGGAGTTCGATCTCTTCGTGTGTATCATGGAATCAGGTCCAAATTCTTTGCAATTTAGGCATCAATCTGGTGTTTTTCTAATAGGAATCTCCTTTTAATTCATCCAATTTTTTATTGCAATTTCCAAAGCTTTTGTGGCCTCTTTGGTGAATTTTTTATCTTGTAGTAGAAGATCAAGAAATTCAAAGACAGTTTCAATCAAAGAGGGTGGAACGGTGACTGTTTGATCAGTGCAAGGTCTTTAGCGGAGCTGTATGTAGATTGAGTGTTATCGAGTCATATTATTTCCGTTTTTGAATTCAGTAAAGTAGCAATGATAATCACCTTTCATTTTCTAAACAAACAACTTCATTTCTGGGCTAGTGGTCTAGGGTAATATGTACTGTGACTAGTTCGAATATGCTTCCATATACATTGTTAATCTTTGATTTTATTTACGGTTGTTAATAATTTTTGATTGATAAATTAATCTCATTCTTACCTTTCTTCTTTTCTTGCTGTTGCTCCAGTGAAGTCACCGTACGTTTGGGCTGACATAGTCTTTGTAAGCAATATTCAGCAAGCTGCGTTCCTCCAGATAAAGCTCCCCCAACGATTGAACCGTTTGGACTACTTTTTCCATTTTTTTTCTCATCTCATCGTATCGTTCTGCGAGCACAAAATAATGCTCGCATGTCCTTTTAGCATTATGAAAATTAAAAAAATCTGATTTAAATTATTTCAAAGTTATGATTGAAATTTTTGTTTATAATTTTTGCAAATTTATGCCTTTGTGCAACCGATGGGAAGCAAGAACAAAGGCAGAAGCAAAGCTTACAAGGGTATCTAGCCTGTTGAAAGAGTCAAAAAGTGAAGTGTTGATGCTTGAAGATAAGCTACAAGACATGGCTTGGAGGTTGTCTAGAGTGGAAGTGACCAGCAGCAAATCTGAATGTGCGCACAAAAGCGCTCAGAACGATATTGCCTATCGCAACTTGGAGCTGAAGTTGGAGAAGGCAAGGATACTTCAGAGAGTGAGGATGAGGAGGAGGAGGAAGAAGAGAAAGACAGAAAAGAGGACTAGATCATGGAGGACCTTGATGTTGTGCCGCAGACTGTCCGTGGAAGAAGTGCTCATAGTTAAGGGAGGTCAAGGGGAGCATCTGGATGTTGTTCACGGATGCTTCAATAAATTGTTTGTAAGTGAGAGAGACTTACGCGTCTGAGTTGAAGATGCACAAGATCTGATCAAAAGAACTCTTGAACAACGCGCCAAGCCGACGTGGAAAGAGTATGTTGCGGCTACTGGGCGGTTCCCTGAGGTCAAAATTAAGGCTCTAAAGACACGAAGAAAGAGGGATATGGGCCGAAGATTAAGGAAGATGTCAAAGTTTCAAACTAGGCATTGGGAGCAAATGGTCGAGAGAAGAGTCGCTTTGGATGTAGTGACGGAGACAATGGCTGTAGAATTACGCGTGATGAGGTAGTACAAGTATGATTGGGTTCTTCATGTAGTGAGTGAATGGTCTGATCATTTTCAAGAACTGGTTCATGAGAGGGGAATTTGGCCTAGGATGAATCGGCCATTACGCCAAGATACTGGGAGCCAACTTTGTGCAACAGAGGAACCTTACCTCATGAGGAAAAAGCTTGAAAGATGCAAATAAAGTTGAATACTATGACTTGTGCTTCCAATTATGGAGGAAATCAATTCGAGGAGTTTGCAGAGCTGAATATTTTTCCCGCCGAATTGGACAATCAGGTGTATGGTTCATTCTTCCATCTTTTCTATGTGAATCAAGATGACCTTGTTCAAAATAGTCCTATCGAAGGGGAGGAGGAGATTGAGGCTGATTCAGGTTGATCGTCTAGGTCCCGCAGTTTGGTAGGGGAAAGTGGGAGGAGGACAAAACGTCGGGAAAAGACTGCGGTGCGGTTGTTGTTCGACATCAAGATTTTTCTCCCTTCGGTATTTTTAGTGAAGGCCACGCTTTCGAGATGAAAAGAAGTACTTTGAGGCGTGCGCCGAGTAATGCATGAACATCAGATTAGCAACCGGACTTATTTTCACAGGAGTGCATTGTGGATGTAGCTTGTATGTGTTAGATTTCTGCGGTGAGAACAAGATTACAAGCTAGACTAATCCTCTCCAATGCGCTGAGATCATTTGCATATGTTCAAACATGCTCAATTCCTGAACACGTTCTCACTTCCCAGGGCTTCCAGCGAATGTTGTCGTCATTTCAAGAGGCCTAGGAAGAGATTCAGCTGTCGTCTTTTGATGGTGCATTGTTTTGAAGCTTTGGAGTAAATAGCGCAGGGAGCAATGCAAATGAAGAGAATCTCCTGATTGCAATGTAAAAGAGGCATGGTCCTAAGAAGCTCCTAGTTGCAACAAGGATTGAGCGCTGAAAAGTCATGCATAGGAGTGAATATCGCAGATGTAACTTCACTGAAATGAGCTCTCCAGTCTCTCTTTGTATATGAGGGAGTTGCTGGTTTGAGCTATGCAATCTCGGTCGCGTCCGCCATAGAACAATTGCCCTTGGTTCTTTATGTATTCTTGTTTGCCAATGAGGCTGTCTGCCTCTAGACAGCATCAAACAATGACAGGTGAACAGCGAAGTCTTAAATCTAAGCTATGGCATGCATGTGCGAACCTCTTGTGTCTGTGCCTACCGTGGGCAGCCGCATGATTTACTTTCCTCAGGGTCATAGCGAGCAGGTGGCTGCATCAATCCAAAAGGAGGCCGATGTGCATATATCCAACTATCCCAGTCTTCCATTGCGGTTGAACTGTTTGCTCGACAATGTTACCCTCCATGCGGATATGGAGACGGATGAAGTTTACACCCGGATGACACTGTTACCTATGAGTGGGAGTCCGGAGAAGGAACTTGTGATTGTGCCTAACATCACAAGGGACACCAAATAACCTATAGATTTTTTCTGCAAAATATTGACACCAATTGATACTAGTACTCATAGTGTCTTTTCAATTGCCCGCCGTGCCTCAGAGAAAGTCTTTCCACCCGTGAACTACTCCCAACAACCTCCACTCCATGAGCTTGTCGCAAGAGACCTTCATGATCAGTAGTGGTACTTCCGGCACATCTATAGAGGTCAACCTCGTATACATCTTCTCACAACTAGATGCAGTGTCTTTGTTAATGCTAAGAGACTCCAAGCTGGTGATTTTGTTCTTTTTATCAAAGATGACAAGAGTACAATTTCTTCTTGGCACAAGACGTGCTAACAGGCAATAGACAACAAGGCTTTCCTTAATGCTCACAAGTGACAGCATGCGTATTGACGTTCTTACGGCTGCATGGTTAGCGGCCGTAAGAACATCTTACGGCCGCTAACCATGCAGCCGCTACCAATAGCAGATTCACTATCTTTTACAATCCGAGTGCAAGCCCATCTTGCTAAGTACAATAAAGTTATCTACCACACCTAGATTTCTGTCGAGATGCGTTTCAAGATGGTATTTGAAACAAAGGAATCAGATGTGCAAAGATACATGGAAACAATTACTGGTATCGGCGATGTCGGCCCGCTTAGATGGCCAAGCTCGCACTAACGCTCATTGAAGGTTGGTTGGGATGATTCTACAGCTGGTGAGAGACAGAGGCGTGTTCTCTGTGGAAAATTGAGCTGTTAACAACCTCTTTCTTAATCTGTTCTCCACTGACATTGAGAGTGAAGCGGCCCCGAGCCTTGCAAGTCCTTGCAGAATCATAAGATGCAATTTTGTTACCAGCAGCAACAACTGTAATAACCCACCAAAGGCTAAAACTGCAATATAGTGGTAGAAAGGTCAAACCCACAAGGACAGAGGCAACACACAGGGTACAAAGTGTCACATTTAACACACTATTGAAGAGTTTGAATTCTCAGGCGACTGTCACTCCCAGAAATACTGCAAGTGTCCACTCGAAGATCACTCGGAGGTCGCACAGTGCAGCGTAGTTCACTCAACACACACACACACACACACCTGAAACTATAGAAACACAACTCAGAGGTCGGTTAGGACCTCTACTTAAGATTTCAGGGGGGAAGTCTCTCGTGAATACACTCAGCGAATCTGCGGGTAGTGACTCTCGACTCCGGCTTTTACAACCCTTTCACTAGTTTCTGCTAGCATAGGGAACCCGGAGTGGACTTCCTACTTCGGATCAAAGTCACTCACACGCGGTGAACAACACACTCAACTCACAAAACGCGCAGAGAACACAGGTCCGAACTGAGAGATTCAACTGAGAAACGATCCGGTAGCACACCATAACAGTCTATTGAAGAGTTTGAATTCTTAGGCACTTGTCATTCCCAGAAATTCTACAGGGGTTGCCCTGAAGGCACCTGCTGCAGCGTAACCTGAATTACAACCAAGGCTTACTCGAAGTAACAAAACTTCACTTTGGCATTCAGGGGAAAAATCCTGAAGGAGTACAATCAGGAACAATCACTCGAAAGTGTAAGGGGGAACTGTTCAAGTATCTAACTAGTTACTAGCTTTGAGCATCGGCAATCACCCGCAGGTGTAGATCCAAACTACTCAAGTCTCTAACCAGTATACTAGCTCTAAACATTCGGCCGAAGGCCTTTAGCTACAAAATGCGGATCGCCAAGTTGTAGCTCCTCTTGCGTGGTGACAGAACTAAAGACACAAACACGCAGAGAAAATGAGATCCTGATCTGCACTTCCGAACTGGAAGAATCCCAAGGCAAGACGCCTTGAATTACTTTATACCCTCTAAGTCCTAACTAACACTACACTACAATGTACTACGCGCCTGCACGGAACCACGCTACACTACACTCCGCAAAACCCGTGCTTCGCCTCTTGCGCGACTGACTACCGCGCACTAACTCCCTACCCTGCCAGTCTTCAGCTCGACTGCGTAGTCCTAGCCGCCGTAACACCGTAGAAACCTCTGTCTCGAGTGTGGCCATGTCGTCCCGCGACTTCGACAGAAACAAATCTAACTTCTTCGCCACTCGCCGCCGGCTCCGACTGTCAGCTGACACCAAACCCGCCGCACGCAGCTCTAACTCTCGCAGTGTGAGTTTCTCCTGCGCCGCCACTTCCTAGTGGGTGTAACCTCTGAGACAGTGGCTGACTCGCCTCGCCAACTCTTCCTTCATGCGATCTGCCTCCCGCCGGTGATCGTCTTCAACGACAACCAACTGCAATTCGGCCTCCGCACGCTGCGCTCTCAATTCCCCGCACTCGGATTGCAGTTTGCGGATTAATTCTTCATCCGCCTGACGTGCGAGCTGACACTGCTCCAACAACCGTGTCTGTCACACGAGCTCCTCTGACAAGATTCGATTCTAAGCCTGCTCAGAATCCAGCTCATCTACGAGCTTCGCCTTCTCCTTGGCGAATTCCTTTGCCGCCTCTTCAAGCTTCTCGTCCTTCGACTTGTCGATGGCCTTGTGCATCTTCCGAGTGAGATTAAGGTGGCCCCACAGACACTCATACTTCTTTCGCAGATCTTTAAGATCCCCATCTAGACGGGTCAACAACTTGCTGGTGTGAACTTTAGTGCGAGTTCACCTACGCACTAAAGTTCACACCAGTTCGACGTAGGACCCAAGCTAGCAGGGGTCTACATACTTCTCTACTTTGCGATCAAGGTACCTCAACATAGGTACCACTTGCTCGCAGAGTGCCGCCGTCGGCGTGCCTGCCACTGATTGTTTCTCCTCCTCACTCGATCCCGATGCCGATTCTGTCGATCCTCCTTCGTCATCCTCCAAACTGAGGATTTCAGTCGCCACTGAATTCTCCGGCGACTGTCGTGAGTGTGGCTTCGTAGTGTCTGTATCTTCTACCACCACTGTCGCTGCTTCCGGCCCGAATGTCTAAGGCGGTGGGAGAGTTGGTTTGTGCCAAACTCGCACCGCTCGCCCGTCCGACTTCTGCTAACTCCGCATCGCCAAAGGCGTCCACCGCCGAAGGCGTTCCTGCGGAAGATGTGTGCGCGGTTTGCAATTGTGCATCGTGCACACGTGTTTCCTCCTTCTGACTGTCAATCCGCTCCTCCGTTAGGTCTTGCTCCTTCAACGAGGTGCCTTCGCCGAAGGCGGTTGAGCCGAAGGCGGCTCGCCTGATATCCCTTGGCCCGAAGGCCCTTCCGCCGAAGGCGCACCTTCCGGCGGATTTTCCGCCGAGGGCGCGTTCCCCGCCGGCTCCCTACTTGCAACTCCTCGGCCCGAAGGCCCTCGCGCCGAAGGCGCACTTTCCGGCGGTCTCACCGCCAAAGTACCTTGCTCCAAAGGCGGATCTTCCGCCGGCTCCTTTCACTTCCTTCGCTGCACCGGAGGCGACTGCGCCGAAGGTGCTCGAGCCAAAGGCCCCAGCCCCGATGGCGAGTCCGCGTACGGTGCTCGTGCGGCTCTCCTATCCGCTGCCGGCACACTCATCGGTGCCGCGTGTCTTCTCTCCTAGCCCGAAGGTCGTCTAGCTTCTGCCGAAGGCGTCCGTGCCTTCGGCGTAGGGAGGTCCGTTGACCCCTCTGCCGTCCGCGCGTTCTCATCCTCCTCTGAGGATGGCGTCTCCTTCTCTCCGGCGGCACGCACTGTCTCCGCGCTACTTGCAGGCAATACGAGCCTGCGTGCTTTCTGCTTCGGCCAACTGCAAATTTCCTCCAGTGGCCGCTTCCGTTTGAGAGCCATCGAGTCTCGATGTGGACCCTTCTCTGGTTCTCCCTTCCATCTCCGCTTCCGCGGCACTCGTGCTGCGAAGGTTTCCCTCCCCGCACCTTGTTGAGCTGGTGGCGTGGAGGCCGGAGTTTCGTCCGCGTCGGTGTCGACCTCGTTATCCCTCACATATCTCCCAGGATTGCTGAGTGACAGCAGCGGATACTGAACACGTTCGGTCGCGGTTAAACAACCCATCGACCGATAAAAGTTGATCAAGAAGGGGAAAAGATGAATCATCGATCCTCCCTTCCACTCAAACGCATGCTTTCGCGTTATCTTATGCAAGATACGCGACCAGTGAATCGGAGCTCCGGCCAATGCCAGCTCCACGAAAGACACTTGCCAAGAAGTGATGTATGTTGTTCGATGCGGCTGCAAGAGTTGCAGAAGTGCCACCGCTACATTTCTGCGGTAGCGATCCTTGTAGTCATGGGTCATGTACCCGTTCTTGCTGGACATCTCACTCTTGAACAAGGTCGCGAAGGAGATCTCTTCGTCCTTCGTCGCCTTGATGCTCTCACTATCAAATAGGAGGATCCCGTCCTCGCCTGCACATCACCCTAGCACTTGCCCCCAATCTTGGACGGTTCAACGCTCTACGTGTGGTCGAAACCCGCGCGTAGGTTGGTGTCTCTCTCTCTGCCATTCGCGCACCATGTCCTGGCACACGTAATTCCATCCCCACATGAGGAAATCGAGCTTCATTGCAAACAACCGGTCCTTGAAAGCGCGCAACCCGATCTGTGGGATCTTCAGCGGGATCATCCGCAGCTGAGTGGGCTTCGACATCGCGTTCTTGGAATTGGATCCCGTAAACTCTCCTCCGCTATACTCAAGCTTCTTGCTCGCGATTGCGATTCCCCTGCAAACTCTAATCTCTCTCAATTCCGACTGTCGCGCACTCAATTCTCTCTCTGTCACCTTGCGAGTCTCTACACGTCGGTGTCTCGAATTTCTCTCGGCCAGAAGGTGGACGCGCGCAGCTTGCACAAGAAATTGAAATCGCAAATTCAAGAATGAAGTGTCCGCCCTTGGCTCGCAAGATGTCATTGTCGACACTTGGTCGTGAGTGTCGACTCACTTGATGGTTGCGCCGGCTTGAAGGCGTAACTGCCCTCCTCTCGCACGCGCGGCTTCACGCTCCGTCGTCGCGCGCATTCACACGCTCGAAATTTCAATTTGAGTTCCGCCATCGTACTTCACCGCGGCCATGGTCGCGTAGCGCCGAAGGCGCGGCGGCGAGGGCTTTCGCCCTTGGCCGACTCGCTACTTGTATCCATCCCGCACCGCCGAAGGTGTTCCGCCGCATGCGTTCAGCCGAAGGCGAACTCCTTCCGCCGAAGGCGTTGACCCGCAGCGCCGAAGGCGTCTCTACCGCCGAAGGCGTTGACTCCTAGCGCCGTAGGCGAACTCCTTGAAGACGTCCGTCGGCGTAGGTGCATCGCCGAAGGCGGCTGTGCCGAAGGCGTTGACCGTGGTCAACGGATCTTGTCTTGTCTGTCGATCCCTCTTATCCCTCCGAAGGCGCTCTCGCCGCCAGAGCTCTGTCCCGCCGAAGGCGCTCTTGTCCGTCTCGCCGAAGGCGTTGAGCCGAAGGCGGACCGTACGGAGTTGCTACCCCCGAAGGCACTTACCCAATCTTGATGTGCTGGCGCCGAAGGCGCCGTACGAAGAACTTCACCCCCGAAGGCGGATATTCCGCCGAATGCGAACTCCTTCCGCCGAAGGCATACGTCTTCGTATTTTCCGATAGTCACAACTCCCTGAGTCCTCATCCGTTCCAGGCGTTCTTAGGCTCGTTAGAACGAGCGTGTCAAGCTCTTTTCAACGAAACCCTAACCAAGTCGAGTTGTTGTGAATTGAATAAGCTCTGAGGGATTTCCCTAGTGCCGAAGGCGGATTATGCGCCTTGCGCCAAAGGAGAACTCCTTCCGAATTGATCGTTCAGGTCGGGGCGCCTGTTCCGGACATTGCGCCCAACTTCTGGATACTACGAGATCACACGAGACCCGCGATTATCCATCTTCACTCTATTTAAATGTACCGATCACCATTTACACGGCCGCTGCGATACTGTTTTCCAAAATTGTTTTAAATTTCGCACAAAAACAAAAAGTGGGTTACCACAACAACCTCCTCAATAGCAACAAGAGCGGTAGTAGCGGCTTGACATCAAATCGAACTTGGAAATAAATTGATTATTATTGCAAATTATGGAAGGAGATCTCAAATCACGACTCGCAATCATAACAGAGAGGAAGTAGACTGCACTCGAAAGAGGGATATCCATTGACCAGAAGGATCAGGACGCTTTGTTGACATAGCAAAGGCTTGCAGGTCGATTAGTGGGTCAAGAGGAGCGCGAGCAACATGTGAAGAGTATCTAAAGTTGAAAAGAGTCAACGCAACCACTACTTTTGTGATAGTATATAATGAGTTAAAGCAAGTTAAAAAGAGGTGATTGTAATTCTTACTGAACAATTAGAATTTGTAACTGATGCGATGGTTGATAAGAAGTTTTAAAATTTGAGATCAGCATTATCACGAAAAAATTGATAATATTGGTACTAGTGTTTATTCAAGATATATATATAAAATTCACTCACATTAAAAATTTAAAAGAAGATTTCAATCCATAAATTTGTAAAATTCCAAATGCAACATATATATTCTTCTAAATTTTTCCTGATTCAATTTCCTACCATGAGTATTTTAATCTACATTCTTATTAACTTTTATGAATTTAACTTATCTTTAATTAGTGACAAACAAACAATATAGTTTTTTTTTAAATTATGAAAGAAACAAATGTGAGTAGAAGTATTAGAATACTAGAATTGAAAGTTTATTCAAACAAAAATCATTTTCACAATACTTTTGTAATATTAAAAAATTAAAATAATTATAAAATTGCAATGATGACTTTTGCAACCGCTTCAAATATTATTATATCCTTGCATGCATTTACCAAGTTTTATGATTTGAAGTTTTTCACATAGTTTGTTATTTTTTTCAGATATATATATTGTTGCAAATCATGATGTAATAAATAAAAATGTAGTTTATTACATGACTAAAAACTACTATAGGAAACACACCAAAAAAATAAAAGATTGGTCCTATCAAACATATATATCATATCAAGTTCTTACTAAGTGCAGAGCTACAATACCATGACATATTTTTGAATTCCAAAATTTTCATATAGGTCATAGTAAATCCGGAACATGAGAATGGATAGATTGTAAAAAGCATGCTACAAAGCAAATGCATCATTTGAGAAAACTCATGCACAACCATAAAATCAATTTACTACTTTCTAAAGAATTCGATCTAAGTAGAGATGAAGTGAGAAGAGCTTTACCATTCATGGGAAAGTGAAAGAAGAATTTAAACATTGAAGAGTTGTTCCATGTCTGACAAAGCAGAACGCTACAATGAAGGACTAATTCCAGCCATTCTTTGTACGAATTTCCGCGTCCCAAATACCTGCTGTATAATGACGGAAAAACAAAACGAAGAGCACAGAAACCGAGAGTCAGACCTTTGAATGGTGGACCATGGTCACTGGGTCCAAGGGATCCACAGGGCTTCTTAAGTACACAAAATAGTGCTGTCCATATAGACGCCGTCCTTCGCTCTGAGAAACTTAGACCTGGCTGCGTCTAACTCAACATGAACTCGTTTGATTCATCTGAGTCACGACCAAGGTTTAGGGTTTAGGATCTCAATTATCTGTACATTCATGTGCCATCGAGTTCCTACCGATTTCAACTGCACGTCCGAAATGTGGGATCGATTGTTGCTTGTACCTTGCAAACAGCGATGATCCAGACCCTTTGTCAGCATATTAGCTGCATGAGTAGAAGCGGATCGGGAGCGGAAGGATTTGGATGCAAAATTTGAGGCAGTGAACTGGTGGTGCCGGAGCTGATGGTTAATTGGCAGATGTGAGGATTCCAGACGAGAGAATTGAAGAATTAGTTCGCGTGGACGTGTGCGAAGAGTGATCATGGTGGAGGAAGTATGTTTGCAAGATCGATCCCGTGGGGTGTGTCGCCGTTTGAAATGAAATCCGAATGGGGATGGAGAAGGCGCTCTGGTGTTTGCGATGGGGAGGAGGTGGAATCGTTCAGTGCTACCGGACTCAACTTCCCCTCGGTATGTCCTGCCCGGCTCAGTATGTACGTGTCCCTGACATTGTAATCACAGTATCTTTTGATCGAAATTCATGTAGATCCAACGAGCTTCTGGGGAAAACTGCTTGCCCTTGAAGACGTGAATTATGGGGCACCAGCAGCTGGGCAAAAATCCAGGGTTCTGCCTCCATCCGCCTGCGAGTCTGGAGAAGCTGGATGCAGCCGTGGATGAAGGGGAAAGGGAAACTGTGCTCGAAGGTTTGAGAGTAGAAGCTCGGCAAGTGCAATGTCGGTTGAAGGAGCAATTGGTACAATTCAGGACAGACGTGGACATCTTCATGAGGCTAATGTACAGGAATAAGAATCAGCATAGACACGCCCTGTACTACCGCAGGCTTTCGCAGGTCAAAAGGGACCTGCGATTATTGGATTATGCAGAATTAGATAGAACCGTCGAGGGCTTCACCAGGTGGACTTTTCCGTTTAAACAGAGCCGAGCCAATGTTTATCAAAGGGCCTCGGAAATTAATAATGTGAGCCCTTCTTTGTGCACTCTGCTGAGTGCTGTCAGAATTCTTAACCAAATAGACGAGCCTATACTCGCCGCGAGTACTCCCATTTTGGGGCTTCTTAGTCAAAGTTATTTTATGAACTTGGGATTGACCATTTTTGCTGCTATTGCGCGTTTGAGAATCTTAGCGGTGCAAGTACGCTTTGAGTTGGCAACCGTATACAATCTGCTCTCTGTATTTTCAAACGAAGAGCAGAAGCTGTACCTTAAGTATCAGTCGCGTTTAGTTCCTGTGGAAGCTTGTCCTCGGCGGCTTCCCTCGCATCTCGAGTGCCATTGGCAGAATGGACAACTATCTGTGACTGAGATAGACCCACCAACCGAGCTTGTGCAGGCTGCGCCTGTTGCAATGCCTCTGTCCATTGGGGTGTTGTTTGTTGATGACCGCAAAAGTTTAGCTGTCTCCAAGGACATTGCAGCCGTGCCGACCATTGCAGCCGTGCCGCCCGTTGTGGACGAGCAAGATCATAGAAGAGGTGGCTCGTGGAATGTATTTGACAGAAACAGAGTCAAGTATGATGTGCGGCTCCCAGCTATCACAGCTAAAGGGGAGGACCTTCTTTCACGGCATTTGAAGGCTGTGTTTCCGAAGGCTGCTGATGCTGTCATTCTGAGTCACGAGGGTGAACCAGGAGTAGTCTCTGTGCCTGGTGAATTGTCTGATCCAGTTTATGCATCTAAGAATGAAGACAGGGAGAGTGAAGTGAAGAAGGAAGGTCATACTCAAAATACGGGAGGTGTCGATCCGGATGTCGCATCTGTGGAGAGGTTGGATGAGATTCCTGGAGACGGTATCAAAGATATCTCTTCTCAGCCCTTGGAAGAAAGTTCTATCATCATCACGTCCACTCCAGGAGCGAATGCAGAGAAGGGTCCAGTTGTGAGTTTTGCGGCATCGGATGCTTCCATCAATAAATCTGTTGTCAATGACAAGCAAAGTAAGCCCCCAGGGTCTATGAACGGCACAAGGAGGTCAGTGGCTTACGTCTCCGTACTTCCCGAGTTTCTACGTGAGAAGAGAAAGGAGGTTTCTAGGGAGGTAGAGTCGAATTTGAGTACTACTGTCGTGGACCTTCATATGACATCTCCAACAGCTGGGGAAAATGGTGCAAGTATCGTTGTCACCTCTGCTTCTGTGGCAGTCAAGGAGACAGTTACACAGTGTGCAGACGAGGTCGGAGAATCTAAAACCATCTGCTTGCAACAAGCGATGATAGAGCAAGATTTGAAGGATTCTAAGTCTGAATCAGGTACTATTTTGATAGAGAGGTTAGATGGGAGCAATGGAACTGGCAAACTTATGTTGGGATCAAAGAGACCTGTGGCTGAGATCTATAGAAGTGAATCACTCACTGATATGGACGGGAATAGCGACCAGGAGGCATCGGGGCCTGGCACGAAAGTAGATGACTTGAAAGTTATTGATAGCAAGAATCGCAAAAAAAAGCGGCGGAAAGGTAAAGGTAAAGGCGCTAGTATTGGTGACATAGAAAAGCAGGTGGATACAAAAATAGATAGTTCCGAGAAGAAGCAGGACAAGGAAGAGGTATCCAACGAAAAGATCTCGAAAACGAAACAGGTAGGGGACCTGTTCAACATGCTGCTTGGGGATCTGTAAGCAGAGTGAAAAAAATCTCCATTATTTTTCAGTCAGTAAGAAACCCATATCACAAAATGTACGCACTGGCCTTCCTACTCTCAATACTTGCAAGCTGACATGGATGACGTTGAAACTTCAAGGCGTTCTGAATGAGAAATTTCGACTTTTACTGCTGAACGCATCATGAGTCATCTAGGTTGTTATGCAAGGCAAAACATATGTATACAAACAGTTTCTATAGTCACAGAGTTATGCGTTCCAAGTGAAGTGACAATATTTGTTCGAACTCACGAGTTCAAGACGAGTTCAATTTTCAGTTTACCGGACTTACATGGTATTGTTATGGAAATTCACAAGCTCGGAACTGTCTTAAATCACTGATGGACGTGAAACCCTTAACTCTGAACATCTGCTCCGACCTCGCCAACAAATCAACCAAAAGTTTGCTGTTTTAACTTGAAACAGGGCATAGTAGCAAGTACCTGTAAAATGGAGCCACTCAATTTTTTTGGAACCCAAACTTTACGTTCATGACCTCCACGGATCTGTCACTTCTTATCTGTTTCGAATCTGACATATTGTTGTACATCATTCAAGTGCCCACACAGAACCGCAGGAAGGGTCAACAACGATAGGCCGGAGTAATGGTAGTTGGTCATCAATGAAAGCGATCGTAGACAGAACTCTGGCTCTCAGATTTACTCACCGTGCGCTGAAAAGCATCCACGAGTAGATTTATAACTGAAGTGTGGCAAATTGGCTTTGTTCAGAAGCCTATTATACGTTAATCCTGAAGGACACTCGTTACTTTTATGTTATCTGCGATATATGACATCTTTTTATTACACAAATCTCTTCGATACTAACTCAAGTGGCAAATGCTTTAATAGTACGGTCTTGTTAAGCATCCGATAATGAAGCTTCTTCTTGATATGTGCGCCGGATTCAACATATAGTACAAAATTATCCATCAGGTTTAGAAAAACTCTTCCCATTACTAGCTTTCCAATTTAGCTCACGAAGAGAATCGAGGTAGCATATCGGAAGGCCTACACACCTAAGTTAATCTTTGAAGTTGAAGAAACAAAAGATACTCAGACAGGTACATGTCTTGAAGATGCCAAGTGCCAGATAAATTCGGTGAATCTACTTACAGAAATGGAATTGAGTGGCACGTCATGACAAACTGCACACACTGATTTCAAATACACTAACTTCCGCGTTGGGATCATAAGAACCAGTATAAGATAAGAGAAGAACGAAGCCAGGATTGTCAATGACGGCAAGGCATAACCAGGAATTAGAAACCCAATTTTCTCGCAGACCATCCAGCTTGGATACAACATTGAAAGGATTGAAGGACTTTCCACGTTTTATACCTCATTTCATCTGCATGAAATACCTGGGTCCAATGTTGATTTATAATAGATAGATGCAGTGTAGTGTATGATCTTTGGAACCATATACCAATTTTATTTCAATTTTACACCTAGCACCAGATAAAACTGGTCCTCGTCTACTGATACATATCTACACTACCTCTACTGGCATTCAATACATCCTGCCCTCTGACGGCCATTTGCTCGAGTGACCAACTAGTAAGAAATAGATATTCTTCCGGTTTCTAGCTCCGACAGAACTCACGTCCTCTTACGTAACACGTGGGTGAACATTGCAACAATACCAAACAAAAGTTCAGGAGATGATAAGAATGAAACGCACAACTCTTCAAGAACTCGTAACTAACTGGTAGATATCACATACCCACTACAACATGTCCAGTTTTAGAAACAGGACGATCTCTGTAGCATACAAAATGGGCCAGTGTGCTATTGGGATACACAGCAAATACACTCGTACCTATCCTCTTTTGACAAATAGAGCACGTCCGATCGCTGTTCACCTTCACTACCCGCTTTCTACATTGCGACAGCTCCTCCCGAACTTGCAAGTTTTCGCTGCGGTGAAGACTTTTGATGACAGCTGAATTGCGACGAGACTCACTGGAAGCTCGGAGCAATGGTTCCAAGAAGGAGAGAAGATTTTGAAGCTTGGTATCAGAAGGGATCATACGAAGTGCTTGAGCACCGTCCAGACGATCCCACCTACGACTCAAAAGCCGAAGGGCATCATCGAGCATCAGCTCCTCTGAAGAAGTCGGCCCCTCGACGAGATCCTCTGTATCACTGCGGCTGCTCTCTGCAGCACTCTCTGCACTGCTGAAACTGAACTTGCTCTCTTCTGCTCCTTCAATCTCAGCAATTTTTTTCGACACCACTCCTCGAGTCCTTTGTTGTTGCTGTGGAGTGGGTCTGGCGCCTGTGAAGGCCTTGATAGGGGCAAGGCTCATCAAAGAGCGATCATACTCCCTGACAGCAGCCTTGGGCTTTAGGTACACCTCGAGTAGCGTAAGGTAGATATTCATGGCACCTTGGTCCACAGGAGGCAGCATGGCTTTGGAAGTAGGTTTGCTGGCTTTCCGTCCAATCATTGCAGTAGTATAAACTCGGTCACAATAAGCCAATGCCAGATCTGCCTCGTGAAGCTTATGTGCATAAAGAGTCAAGGCGAGTCGATGTTGACCAAGGCGACCGAGCAAGTAGGCCCTTTCCTCGTACAGGCCGTCTATAGGAAGTCGCTGTAGTATCCGGTCGGGGCTGTAGGCAGTTGTATTTCGTAAAACGTTGAGAAGCTTTTCCCTTGCCTCGCTGTGGTCTCTCTCATCCCATTTTCCTTTGGCGACACTGGCAGCGCGTTCCTCGAGTACTCTGGCCAAGTAAAGTTGTAACAACTCGTTTTGGAGCTCTGCCGGAGCAGCATTCGCATGCTCACCGAGCATGTGTTCGAGGAATAACATTCGGAGCTCCGGAGCATTGTCCTTGAGGTGAGCTAGAACGAGGTTGATTGGAAGAGGTGGATTGAAAGAAGCAAACAAGACCATTGTTTCTGCGACGTTGCTTTTCAGTATCCAGTTTGAGTTGTCCAAAATAAGAGCAGGGTCTTGAGCTCCGAGATTCTTCAGGTAATCGATAATCATCTGAGACCTGACCTCTTGTGATTCCTTGGGTGGCACGGCGAATGATTCTGGTTTCTCGGCGAGATCATTCAGAAGATTCAGCGCATCACGATGCATTTTATGGCTCTTGTACAGCTCGACCAGCTCCAGGTAGTGACCGGTGGCCAACATCATCTCTTCACAGGGAGCGATGTCGCAGTAGTTCGGACCTTTCAGTAATGCCAGGGCTGCTTGTGACTGATCGGTAGCAAGCATCGCTTGCACCAGTGCAGTATCCAGGACAATGGCCAGCTCCCTCGCCTCGTGCTTCCGCTTGTCGCTTGATGCTTCGCTATTTCTTCTGGCAACTGGCGAGGCCTCCACCATGGCTGCGACTGCAGCATCCGTCTCCTCTGCTTCGGCTTTTTCGATCACGGAGGTTCTTCTGGAAGACAAGAATCCTGCGAGGGAAGACAAAGCTATCTTCCTTTGCTGGATGTCCTGCAATTTTTGATTTTCCTCCAAATTCATCAACTTGCTCAGGTGGGGAGGACCACCAGACTGACTTCCACTTGCGCTCTCCAGCTGGTCCGACGACAGACCTGCTCGAGATCTCTCCGTAGGCGTTCCCAAGGGTCGGCCCTCCAAAAATGGCTCGCTGGACACTGGGCTCACTATGCTCGGTAGTTTCACAGAGGGGAAAAGGGAGAGAATTGTTGTAAGGTCTAAGGAGGATGCTCCAAAGTGATCCATGGCTTCCACGTACTGACCCTGTTCAAAAAGATAGTGACCATAGCGGATATGGATGGCGTCTTCCTTGCTAGCCCTCAAGGCGGCATCTTCAGGAGGAAGCATTTTGCACAGAGCCAGAGCGCTTTCGAAATTTCCTGAAGCAGCCAACTGCACGACCTGTACTCCGACTGGAACAGGAAGAATCCGATGAATGGCGGTTTCGGTAGCTGCTATGATACCAGCATCACTCGACAGCAACAACTGCGTATCTCTGAGCGGTAACATCTGGACCAGCCCATGGGGAGCTTTCAGAGATCTCACCTCAACGTGGCGAGATAATCTCGCCAGTGCATAAGGGGAATGGATCACAACCGCTGCTGGCGCTTCCGACCAGCTCAAACCACCATCCTGAGTCAACTTGCCATTGTGATCGACGATAACCCCAATTTTGTCCTTCCCTAAAAGCAAATCCCCGTCTGGAAGCGACACGATCATCGGACTGGCAGACCTGCCACTGGGAAAAACATCGACCGTCACACCGGTGTTCACATTCATGATTATGTACTCCCGGCGAATTCCCAAGCACAAGGAGCCCGCACACCAGGCCATGGCATTCACCACATCTGGGGCTACCAAGTCCTTGATCTCCGTAAAGCCTCGATTGCCATCATATCGATAAACCAGAATCCTTTTGAGCTTGGACACAGAGAGAAGGCCTCGATCTTCATCCCAGCAGTACAAGGTCGCACCCTTGGTCTTGGTCAGATACGAGACGACCTCGAACTCGGGCAAAGTGTGGATGGCGACGGCATCCGAGAGAGTTACGAGAAGGCCCCTCGACTGCAGCACATCCATGTGCGTGACGGGCTTCCTCGCAAATCCGACTCGAGTTTCTCGGAGAATGTAAGTGGGCACCGTGACCTCCGAGTCCGAGGGCAGCACGTCCACGGTTTCTTCCGGCGCGTAAATGCGCAAGGAGCCATCGACGCAGCCGAGCAAGAGACGAGCTCCCCACAGCCCCACGCTCTCGATTTTCGCCGGGCAGTCTCTCAGAATCTGCACGGAATCAAACGCATTGTGCACCATCTCTCCCCCCGCCCGCCCTAGAGCCAATCCACTCCTGATCCGATCAGCCGAGAGGAGAAAGCCTGATGAAATATTTTGTGTCAGAATGGCGTGACTGGAGTTGCATCAAATGCTGAGGCTTCTGCCTGCTCTTACATTTCCAAGTTGCAGGTGTTTTTTCTAAGCTACATTTTCCGAGACACAGGCGTTCATTTTCCACCAAGGCCGCATGGCAAGCCCGAATTTGGGTAAATCCACAACAAGGGCTACGGAGTCGCAACGATTCCCTCTAGAGAACAAAGACATAAATTCCAAAAGCCCTGATCTAAAAATTTCAATTATCTATCCCGATCACGATTTCACGATTCCTCTCAGTCTGCTCTCCACTGCAGACGCGGGTGCCACGATTTGCCTGCGAGATCTCGGACACGCTATGTCACCTCGGCAGAACCGCCGAGAGTAGATCGACTGGAATTTGAAGAAATTGTAAACTAGCATGCAGAGCGAATGCGGCAAATTCCAGAGAGAAGATTGCAGGAACTGTGGGAAGTGAAATCCGAAGGCTGCTTCGAGCTGCAACGACTGGATTCATTCATAGATTGACTCGGGGTCTGAAACTGGCACAATCCCATGGAAAAAGAAATCACAGACAAAATTGTTGACTGAACAGTACCTGTTGGAGAGACAGAGGCCGGTCGGGGAAGGAGAAACTATCGGTCTCCTCTCGTATTCTTCCGGCCTCGACTAGCTCTGCATCGCATCCAGCGCAGGGAGGCACCGGAGCTCGACAGCTCGAGAGGAGACTCGAGTTCATTCGAAAGGAAAGACAGCAACGTCGCCCCCGCGCCCTCCCGTCCCGCCACGCCACGGCCCAGGCAAAAAGCCGGAATCGCAAGATCGTGTCTCTTTGCTTCATTTCTCTTGGCTTTGCTCTGCTTTCATTATTTGTGCTTTGGTCTGTGATATATGATTAATGGTAGATCCGGAATCCTGGTCAGTTGAAGGAAAATCCAGTAGCAGGCGATGTTGTTCTGCATTGTACCATCTTGCCTGTGACAATCGAGCATGTTACAATCAAATTTCTTGACTCCATTATTGACTCTCGAAGAGTTTAGCTACATAAACCATGTTTGGTAAATCATGTGCTTTTAACTTTTCCTGGATTAAAAATACTGAAGTGGGAAAAGATGGTTCGTGATTGTACATCTCTCGAGGCTCAAATCAGAAAAAATATCACATTTACATGCTTAAGAGTGAGGATCAAGCAAATTACGTCGACTATTTCCTCATAAGTTCAAATACACAATCTATCAATCCGTACAATGGTTAGTATCTTAATCTAATTTCATTTTAGTCTTTTGATATTAGGTGTTTATGTCCATTTTGTTTTAACGGGTGAGCACATCTATTCGATATGTTCACACGTTAATTTCATGACGAGGTTAAATCTGGTTTTCACTTACCACACAATGAATAACCATTTAATTCTATGTTCGAAGAAGTATAGTTTTTGTTTATCCTACTTCAACTGTGGTGTTTAAGCTACATGCTTAGATATAAGAGATGATAAGTTTAAGATATTTTGCGGATGAGATTTGGTTAGTTTGTAGTAGTATGATGTCCAAAATAAACAAATTTCAACTCGTATTGAAGAAGATGATACTTCATATGGCTTGATTACAACGATATCGATATTTGAATTTGATGAGAACTTTAATAGAGTTCCAAGCATAAGATGACAATACAAATCATCTTCAACACCCTTTAAGCAACTACGCTGTGTATAGATGAGACGTTGTGTACATATGATAGTAAAACTAAGATAAATTTGATTGAAAATATCTTAGACCTAAATGTAGTATTTGCAATCAAACAATGGGCTAGTTGGATGCAATTTGTAATATCATAATTATATAAAGAGTTCAATATTTTTTTATGCTCAACAAATTGGATGAGTTTGACTTGAAGAGAGAGGAAAAAAAATCTATCAGATTTAGGAGGAAGAATTTGTGGCATTGTTATCAATTATCTTCTAAAACGTACAAACTTTTGGTTCTAGATAATATTGCTGCACTCTTATATCCATTCACTATTCTCTGTTTAGCACTTTCACGCGTCTCAAACTCTATCATGGAATTCTTGTGGCTTGGCATATTGGAATTCTACACTACTTGAAAAAATAATTAAGAATTTTTTTTCTTTTTTGTATTGTTAGTATAATGTGATAAAATAATCTTGAGTATCAATTGAGAGATATATTACAAAATTTTTGAACAATTGAATATAACTCAAGAATTTATTCAAATTCTTGTGTATCAATCTTGGTATAATTCAATAAGTATAATTTCAATCAATACAAAACTTTACAAGAACATGAAATATCATTCAGGTTTGATTTCAAAGAAAATTTATTTAGCATGTTTGTAGCAAAATATATAGATACTATAGTAAAACAATAACAGTTGATGCAATCTTGCAAATTTTTTTAAAAAAAAATCTAAATCTTCATCAAGTAACTAAATTTATTTCAATTGACATCAAATTTCAAACTACAATAAAGTTTTAATTGTAGATTCTTTTGTGGTAGTTTTTAATCTTTTCACTATTATAGCACTTTCAAAATCATTTAAATCATGCATCTAAGTGCAAATTTTTTTTAAAAACAATGCAAAATATTTGATGTGAATTTTGACTTGTTCTTTTATATGTATATGTAAGATAGTATAAATTTTCATCTAATATTTGATTAGTATAAAATTAAAAACTTTGTTGTTCTTATGTACGTAATTCAAGAGTGGCAAAACCATGTATATTTTTATGAGCATTATGATTTTGAATTTCTTTATGTGAAAATTTTTTTATGCATTTGTTATAACAATTTATATCAAAGGTGAGATTTTTTTTCTATCATGGATTATAAAATATGAAAACTTTGAATGACGAGTAGTCAATATTAAACCAGTATTAGTTGGAAATGTTCAACCCAGTGTTGAAACTGCAAGGCTGAATAATAAAGTAACAATTGTTGAACAATACTAGGTAGCAACATCAATTTTTCTTGCTCTATTTTCTTACAAAAATTTCCAAAGTGTCCCTAGATCTGTTTGCCAAAGAAGCAAAACATATTGTTAGTTTGTATGATGAAAAGAGACATGAAAATCGTTCTTGTGATTGTTGAAAAATTTAACAACTCGATTGGCTATGAATATGATCAAACGATCGTTGTTTTTGTCCTCAAGTAATTTAAACAACACATTGCAAGAGTAATGGATTGGAGCATCAACATGTTGGAAAAAAGTACCAAGATAGTTTTTAAAATACAAGACTTCAATTTGAAAAGTATTGTGTGCACTTGTGGATCAATCAAATTTTTCATATCTTCAATTTTATAATCATCCATGGAAAAAAACCTGATAGAAAGATGATCAAGATTGTGAATGATGATTGTGTTATTGTCGTGAATGATGTTGCCATTCAAAAATCCTTTTGCTTACCGTTGAATCAATCTTTAAAACATATACGCTTTAAGATGTGAATTCTCAAACAAGACGTTAACATTAGTAATCAAAATAAAAACTCACTCGAAGATGAAACTTTGAAGATGAGAAAATATCTATAATGAACAATTTATCCTTTATATAAATTTTATCAACAAATACAAGGAGATAAATAATCGCAACCACTATCTATTCCATCTTTAATGCATTCATAACATGATGGATAATCTAACAAGCACATGGATTGCTTAGATGTTACTTTCAACTAATACACTACATCTTTATCTAACAAATACAGATTTTTTTGACATGATTATAAATAATTCATCAAAAGACAATTTTAATTTCATCTTGAATACTCTATAATTTATTTCTAATTAATCAAATATTGTTACAAAATTCACTCTTTTTAGAAGATGATTTATTCATTATACATATGTTCAATATCTTGAACGTATGTATAATGTTCAATATCTTGAACGTATGTATAATGTTCAATATCTTGAACAATCAAAATTACATTGGTTAGAATTTTAATTTGATTATTTTAATAAATATACTTTCTATTGATTGATATATTCTATTTTGAAATATTTATAACCTTCAATTTATTTCTTGAATATTTTTTCTACCTCAAATTTTTCATAATTTGTTATCAAGGTTGATAGAATAATTAACAATGATTTGTTTCTAAGTTGCTTTCATCGTGATACATATCTTTGCAATCGTGATATATGAAATATACAATATATTTTCATATGTGATGAAAATTTCAATTTATATGACACTTCATCAATATATTTTAATATAATAAAAAATTATAATTTATTATAGATATATTCTAATATTTTTATTTAAAATATAAGTCTCTATTCTGTAGTTCACACCAAGAGTATACTCGTTGAATGTTCTAAAAAATATTATTCACTTCCAAAAAACTACAATGATCATATTATGAATTTTTAATAAGATTATCTTGCGCAAATCTTGATCTTGCGGAATCCGTATGTATTGTTTATAAAACGTCAAGCATATAATTTATTTTTGCACTTTCAACTTGTAATGCTCTCATGATATTTTCATATTCTTTTGTGAGATATGTCATCTTGCTCCGTCAATTGATTTGAATCTTCAATTTTGCAATATAATTAAGACATGACATATGTGTTTGAGCAATAGTAAGTTGAATCTTACACTCCACATACACAATCTCACGTTAAAGTATTAGCGTGAATTTGTTCGTCAAATTTTTCATTTAGACAGATATTTTTGAGTTTTCATTCAAATAATCATCTCATCATCTTACTTAACATCTCTTCCACTTGAATTTTGAAATATTCAAATTTATTTATAATTTAAAGATATAGAATTTTTCAAATTGGTATATTTTTTAATATGATTTAAATCTTGTAATCTATATGTTTCTTAGATGATAATTTTGCAAATAATATTTCTGCAAATATTTTTGTATTCATCATAAAATTGTCCTTTAAAGAATCCAAAATAGAAAATTCGTACTAGAACCAACATCCAGAAAACATGCATCATGTGTAGAAAAACATATCATTCACAAAGAGAATTAAATTTTAATGTTGAAATCTAATTTATTTCCAATTATTATTATTTTATCAAATATAACTCTAGAGTATATTATTCCATCCATTATATTTGTAATATGATATCATATAGAACCAAATAAAACAATTTCCATTCAATATTTCGTTTTTGTCTTTCTATAGATTATTTTATTTTATTTATACTAAACACAAAAAAAAATCATAGTTACATAAGGCTAGTTCGATAAATTGTTTCCTTCATTCATATCTATAATCAACATAAATGATAATTTCAATATAACACTATTCTTGAACATACTCGTTATTCTTCTTTTTGGATGAATATCAATTCTTCACATGAATATCAATTCTCAATTTAATTGACGAATCTTATATGGATCTCATCGTATTAAGTATTCTCATGGATGCGGACACAGTATGTGCAGGACTCATATGACTGAGATGTGTGATTACACTGCAGATATCTGCCCAAGCTGGACCCGTAACATTTGGCAACTAATGGCGGGAAGTGTGTTGTGTCAACTTTCCCTGCAATGAAATTGATTTTTCAAAAGTGGAAGATTGTTGGCCGAAATTCTTTTTGGGGTCTTATTATGTAACCTGATTCTTTCTCCGGTCTCTCCCCAGTCAACCGAGGGCTCTACACAAGATGAGTGTGCAAATTTGGCTCTCTACGGTGAATAATATCAGGAAGTTTATTTTAATAAAGCTTGCAGCTTCGACGAGATATTGCAATGCTAATTTTTGGTGATTGTGTGAAGCTATGAAATTATAAAATCAGGCCAGTGCGATAGTGCTGATGAATATTTTG